TTGATCTAGAGAAAGCTTATAATAAAGTACTTCGAGATTTAATTTGGTAGGTATTGGAAAAGAAAGAGTCTCCAGATACGACATCGACTTGGCGAGAGATATGCCCTAGTGAGTGCTCTTTATTGTGTGCACAACTAGTGTAGAGGCGAGTGAGTTTTGGTGACAATAGATTTACATCAGGGCTCAGTAATGAGCCCATATCTCTTTGTTATAGTTATGGATGACTTAACTGGGCACCTACAAGATGAGGTACTGGAGTGTATATTGTTTGCCGACAACATAGTTTTGATCGATGAGACCTAAAACGATGTTAACACCAAGTTTGAACTTTGGAGGGATGCTCTAGAATATAAAAGTTTTAAAATTAGCCGTACTAAGACAAAGCATATCAAATGCAAGTTTAGTAATAATAGGAGTAGAAATCAGGAAGTAGTTAAGATCAACTGCCGAGAAATACCAAAAAGAATGTACTTTTGATATCTTGAATTGATAATCCAGGAAATTTAAAGAGATTTAGGAAGAGAGAGATTGAGAAAGATGTCTCACATAGAATTAGAGCTCCCTGGGCGAAGTGGAGATGTGCAAGTGGAGTTTTTATGTAATCGTCATATACCAATGGAGTTGAACGGGAAGTTCTGTAGGACAACTATGAGTCCAACTTTGCTTTATGGGACAGAAAATTGCATGGTCAAGAAACAACATACCCATAGGTTCGTGTAGCTGAGATGAGGATGTTGAGATAGATGAGTGGCAAGACAAGAAGGTATAGAATTCAAACTGAATACATTCGGGATAACTTAGGTGTGGCTCCAACATCGATAAGATGAGAGAAAGTAAACTTAAGTGGGCTAACCATGTGCAACGCAAACTCAGTACAACACTTGTTAGGAGATGCGAGTTGGTTCAAGTGGAAGGCATAAAAAAGGTAAGGGGTGGGCCCAAAAGATATGGTTGGATGTAGTGTAAAAATATGGGGACTCATTGCCTCACTGAGAATAAGGCCCTTGATAGAGTAGAACAACATACCAGGATTCGAGTATTCGACCCTAAATAGTTGGGAACAAGCTCTGATGATGATGATTTTAACTCATATCGATGAGGGTTTGCTATTTAACAAACCCTAAAAAAAATGACATTTAGTTGATTGAGTTCAATTTTTGAGGCATTTTGATTGAGATTTTTTATTTTTAATTAACTGATTTTTTTCGAGATTTTTTTATCCAAAATGGTCAGTGAAATCATCCCCTTGGTGGTTTGGTGAAGTTATAAGGGGAAACTATACAAAAAAATTTTCCATTCAATGCCACTTGATTTCTCACCAAACTGAAGTGATATTTATGCCTGATTCTCTCCCACAATTTTCTCACTCTTGGATCCAAGTTTTATCGAGCCTCTCCTCGTTAAAAGTCCCTGCAAAATGTAGATCATGAGATGCTTATTGCTTCCCATTATGATAATGTTGTGAAATTGGCCTAATTGTGAATTGGCATCAAGATAGTCATTGTATGGTATGTTTTTAAGACGTTGGCCATAAACCAGGCATACCTGATCTCTCATTGGCTTCCCATGATCATGATCCATTGAGAACTTGAGCATATTGGACTTTGTAATTAGGATATTGAGTTTTGTGGTGTTTGTATTTGAAATTCATTTATTAATTGGCATTGTAAATTTGAATAGTGCTGAATTTTTTAAGCACTTGATTTTATGGGGTGTTTTCTCATTCTCCATGCATAATTTGGTCGGACTTTTGTTAAGGATCCTAATTATGTTGTAATCCTTGGTTTTAAGAGTATATGGATGTAATTAACGTTGCTGTAATTCCAGTTTAAGTGGTTGTAATTGAGGACAAAAAGTGCCTTGTGTCATGTAATGGTAGTGTACATTAAAGTTGTGTAGTTTATTGTCTAAGAAGGTTTTAAGTCTTGTGCCTTATTCTTGGTTCCGTTCACCATCTATTTGGAAGTTTCACTAATGAATATCACGCATTCTTGAGTGAGATCTTAAGATTAAAGAGTCACTAACATACTTAGAGGCCACAAATGATAAGAGGTGGATTGAAGCTATGCAAGAAGAAATAAAGGTCATGCATATCAATAATACGTGGGAGATTGTTAGAAGACCAGAAAATAAAAATCTGGTAGGTTGCAAATGGGTATATAAGGTGAAATATTAATCAGATGGAGTATAGAGAGATCCAAGGCAGCATTGTTAGCTGAAGGATTTAATCAGCAATACAGACTCCATTATCAAGAAACCTCAAGTCCAGTTCTTAAGATTGTGACAGTACACATTAGTATATCATTAGCCTTGGCCTATAATTGGCTACTCTACCAGCTGGATGTAAAGAATACATTTCTTCATGGTGGGAGAGGAGGTTTACATGGAGCAGCCACCACGATTTAGTAAGAGAGTATCTATGCAAATTGAATTACTCAATTTATGGACTGAAGCACGCATTAAGAACCTAGTTTCAAAGTTTCCATAATACATTAAAGGAGCAAGGCTTGAAGAGGGTTGCAGTAGTTCACTCCCTATTCATCCAAAGAAGATGCAGGTAAGTGCTTCTATACGGTGATGATATTATAATTACGAGTAGTTCGTATGTGTTGATTGCTGATGTGAAGAGATTTCTTAAGGATAAATTTCAAATGAAAGACTTGAGAAGTAAGGTATTTTCTTGGGATAGAGGGATCGAGATGCCAATGAAATTAAGCTATCTCAAAAACATATGCCTAAGATTTGTTACGCTAAATTAATATGTGAATTATAAGCCTTCTGAAAAGCTGTTGCTGTGAATAAATGATTGAGCAGAGATGAAGTGGAATTGTTAAGAGAACTAGAGAAATACAGGAGTATTGTAAGGGCTTTACAGTATATCATATTAACATGACCGAATGTATAATCTGCAATGATTAGGTATGTCAATTTATGCATATGCCCACTTCATCTCATATGGTAGCCTCAAGGAGAATAATCAAATGCATTAAAGGAACAGTGAGCGATGACATAGTCTATTATAAAAATGATATGAAGAATTTTCAAATTGAATCGGTAATGGGATATTCCAATGCTGATTGGGCGAGTGACCCAAATTCAAGAAGGTCTGTCTCTGGATTTTATGTTTATCTTGGGAAAAACATGCTATCACGGAAAGGTAAGAAACAAAAAATAGTTGCCAGGTCAAGTACTGAAGTTGAATGTCGGGTGTTAGGAATTACTATATCGGAGATGTTACGGATTCACATTTTGATGGCCACATTGGGCATGAAAATTTTAAGATCCACAGTTTTTGTGATAACAAGAATACCGTAGCCTTGGCAGCATATCCACTATTTCATGATAGATCTAAATGTATTTAGATTGATTATAATTTTGTGCGGGAATGGATTAAAGCCAAAGAAATTGAAGCAAGGTTTGTGGGCACAAAAGATCAAATAGTAGACATATTATCCAAGGAACAACATCAGTTTTTGAAGGACAAGTTGTACATGTTAAAACATGATATAAAACTTGAGCGGGAGTGTTAGTCATAATTGGTCAGGGGTGTATTCGTAAATTGTATACTTCTGTACATTATTCTTGTATCTGTAGTTTGTGTTCATTGTAAAAGACATTTTTATAATTTCTGGATTTATTCGTACCCTATCTGACCCTCAAATTAATTGGGGTTAGAAACATTATAAATATATATCTTTGAGCTCCTCACTCAAGTGTGAATTATCTCTACTTTGGCTTCCTCTCTATTTATCTCTACTTGAGCCACAACTTGTTCTTCCCTCTCAAGCATTCGAGGTGATATTGTAACCTTTTTTTGTTTGTGTGTGTGTTGGGGGGGGAGGGTGTAGGGGTTGGAGGGAGGGGGGAGACTGAGAGGGAGAGGGTGGGGATAGATCCTTGTTGGAGGGAGGGGATAAATCTCCTCATCCTAAAATCCTAAAATACTTTGTTAGACAAAGTATAATATAGTCTGATTTCATAGGCAAAAAGCCCCACACAAACAGATTGGGGTAGAGTGGATTCAATTGATCCCTCTGTAGTTTCATATAGAGGGCTCTTGAAGTGTAGAATAATTTCTATGATCATGGTAATAATTGTGATGTTTTATTCTTTTTTTGGCCTTGATTGGTGACCTACATGTGCGTGCTTCTTTTATATGGTTTGTGGCTTTTATTGAAGAATAATTTCCATTTCTCTTCCAAAATTGGTTTGTTTTACTTGACTGAGAAATAATTTCCATTTCTCTTCAAAATTTGCTTTGTTTTACTTCATATTTACTAATACTCTACTGTTTTACAAAATGGAAGTCGAATTCATTTCGATATTTTACTGTTACAACTTTGATGTCATTTTTTCATCACTTACATCCTAGGAGTATCAATTTTGTAAGGAAAATTGTTTCATGCGGGCTGGGCGGCATTTCTACATATGCGGTCCAGAAAGTGTAAAGCATCCATCTTAAAGATGGATGCACGTAGGTGTTCCATCTAAAAAAAATAGAAACTAACGGTCCAAATGTTTTCTTACTAGAATTATTATTTTTAGTTTTAAAATTTATTTATTTATTCATGTTCATGATCCCCATGTTAGGGATTACATGTCCTTAAAAATTAAGTTTTAAATCCATCTCGAAAATAGATTTATTAAGAGGCCCACATTTCTACATATATGGGCTTGGCCGCATAGAAATCACATCCATTTTGTAATGCAGCCATTTGCAGTCCCTTGCTTTATTCTTTGAGATGTGCTAATATTCCCTATGTATTTATTAGATTGTGGTATAAAAGGACCAATCTAAAGTGCGTATGTGGCATACAAGTGCTGGAATGAAAACTTTGTTTCTATTTTCTGCTTCTATATCCCTAATATCTATATACTTAACCTCCATCATACTTCAACATGCAGCGAGATTTAAGTGCCTGTTTGATCATCGTGTATTTTATTTAATAATTGCATTTCTTCTTTTGAGCTCTGACCTTAGTTGTTTACAAAATTTCCAGGCTGGCATTGAAGTTGCTAAACTCTTTTTAAATCAAGGAGAGACGGTATGTAATTTCTTGGAATATAGTTTTAATGCATTTATTTTCTTCTTTTACAGGTAATTGGTAGTTGAGAATTGGTAATTGGTCATTAAATAGTGAGAGGGTAGAAGAAACATGTGTCACTTGTGAGTTATTGCTTAGATCCAATCTGGTTTTTGTCATTATTTTCATTATTTGAAATCATTGAAAAATGCTAAAATCATTGTTTCCCTATTGACAGTCATAAAGAATGTCAAATTCATTCTCTTTGCTTTCGCTTTCAACTTTAGATAGCTTTGCCACTTTGCCTATATGTATGGAGAAAATTTATGTAAGCGCGCGAAGCTTATACACTATACAAATAAGGCGCACCTCAAAAACCTACCAATAAGGTTGTTCCAATCATGGAAAACTCTCCAATTGATCATCTCGACCTTGAGATGTATGGTATGGAGAGGAAAAAATGATTTGGTGTCCTTAAAATAGTACATCTTGTAGTGCATTATCTAGACCGTCCATTTTCAAAAATGTCTAGTTTTTTATAGATCCGCTTGATTTTCACGATTTCTGGAGCTTTGAATTTCGTAATTAGGGGTAAAAATAGATTTCAAGTCTTCGTAGGGGTTTTCATCATTGGAACTGCATCTTCTGACATGGTTTGGAGGCGCTCCTTTGATTATTTAAGGTTGAGGTTCACACCTTATATAAACTGCAGTGTTTGTGGGCGTGTGTAACATCCATTTTCCCATCTCGTTTTTCTATTCTATGGTTTATTCATCACCATGCATGACATTTTAGAATATTGGAGAAATTTAGGATCATACAACAATCAGGATTTCAGCTACCAAAAAAGGTTATTTTGACCCTGGAAAACTCTCAAATTTATCATCTTGATCACAAGATGTACAAATATGGAGACATAATGATTTCTAGTCCTTAAAATAGTGCATCTTGTAATGCATTATCTGAACTGCCTATTTTCAAAATTTTCTAGTCTTTATAAATTTGCTCGATCTGCACAACTTTTGGAGATTTGAATTTCATAATTAGAGATGAATTTTTAGGTCATGTAGGGGTTTTAGGTATTCGACCTGCAACTTCCGGCACCGTTTGGAGGTGCACCCTTGGTTATTGGAGCTTGACACCTTATACAGACTGCAGTGTGTGTGTGCATGTATGGATGTGTGTGAGTGCGTGTGCATGCTTGCACTCGTGGGCACACGTGTGTATGATCCACTTTTTCCATCTGTGTTTTCTTTTATATTGTTTACTCATTACCACAATATTAGAGAAATCTAGGATCATGAAGCTCTCTTGATTTCACATCAAGTACAACTACGCTTAAACCATTGAACATGATAAGTTTTCGCATGACACATTACCTTTCTTTATGTTTATAAAGAAGCCATGTCAGCAGTTTTTCGGGCATTTGGAACAATCTCATGTATTCAACTTTCCTCCCATATGGGTCTTTTTTCCCTTTTTTTATTTTTTATTTTTTATTTTTAACTGCAATGCAGCTACCAAAGTTTTCCCTTTATTGATATTGTTAAATTCCTGTTCTATATAGAAAGCTTAGCATCGTGAACTTGGGACTGTAACTTCCTTTCATTTTTTTGTTAAAGACAGAACGACTAGGAATTGTAAATAAGGGAACAGGGTAAGTCTATTATTCGGTCTTTGCTGTCCATTCCCATTGACTGGTGATGGAGATGAGCCCTTCCTCTCCAGTTGTATGGTCAATGAGGAATGGTTTATCTCTACTTTGCGTCATTGAGAAAGGACATTTGATACTGCATGAAGTGTAGAAATGTATACTACGTGTCATACCAATCCCCATTAATAAGGTAAAGGTAGATGTTTCAGCACCCCAATATAGCAGCATACAAATCGAGTTGGAAAAGATGGAACCAATTGATATCATCTGTTTGCTGAACTGATCACCTAGAAGTTTCACTCACTTATTTTTCTTTCCTTTTCATTATGTTAATTTTTAGTTATGCCTTCCCCAGTCCTACTTGAAATATAATTTATCTGTAATTGTTAATAGAGCTCTGTTTCAGATTTGAAGGATCTTTTTTCCCATGAAATCCAGGTGATATATACATTTGGGAGGGATCCACAGTTGCAAAGAAGTATCACGGCTGAAACTGCACCTCTAATATCTGCTCCTGTAATGGTATTGTTTTTCGTTTACTTGGAGCATGCATTCTAATGTTTAAACATCTATTTTATATTCACGAAAATCAGAATTAACTGAGTTTCCATATCCTGCCTGCCTGTTTATTTTGGATGTCCCTCTTTGCACCGCCCTAAATTTGACTCTGCAAGAATGAATGAATTGCATAATGATTCTCACAGTATTTGTGATTCAGTAATATAAAGGGTCATTTAAAATCAGTCCAGTTTGCTGCAAGTGCATGGATTAACTATGCTTGATTCTTCTAGTAGATACCGACTCTTGTTGACATCGGAGAGTTGCATAATGTAATTGTAATTATAGGTGAATTTGGTGGGGAAAATATTTTTGTATTATTTATGCATAAAATAAAAAAGTATGAGTCACTTGACTTCCTGGATAATGTCGCGTACTATCAAAAGATAAGTACACGATACGCACATGAACAGACACATGGATACATAAGCTGTGCACATAGTGCCTTCACTAGCAATAGAAGTGAAGGGCAATATGATTCTTCTCAAAGCTGCATTGGGAGCATCATGTTGCTCCAATGTACACTAAGAATTACTTTCATTTCCCAATTCCATATCGTGCCTTATCTCCTCACCTTAATTTGGAGTGATTTATGTGACTACTAGCCTAGCAATGTGCAACCCCATCAAGCTGCAAGTTTTGCCATACTATTCGCATGATAGCATCTCATGGCAGGAGATGGGGATCAAGAAAATTGATAGGAGTATTGATTCCTGTAATCTACTTTTAAGAAACCCTCATGACCAAATCAAATTGATTAGACATCTCCTGAATTGTTGGTTTTTTAGAATAGTTTGCTGAAATATAGGAAAATCTGTATGCCCCGAAGACCGACCCAATGCCAATCAGCAGTGTACTAAAATTCAGTTTAACCTGCCAATTTCAAAGCTCCTTATTGAGCATGAGCCAGCTACTGGGCTATTACTCGTTGAGTTGCTATTTTTTGATGGTACCGAGCCCAGTTTCAGGTCTTCTGCTGTGAGTAATTATTACTTTGCCTTGCTTTTGTTGCATGTGAAGGGCTAAACCTCCTGTTACTTCTAATACAGGTCCTTGTTAACAACCGAACTGCAAGTGCAAGTGAAATAGTGAGCAACCGACCTCCTTATAAAGCTAGTTTTGATTCAAACGTTATACAAAACTTTTTATTTTATAACCAGAAATGTTTTTCAGGTGGCAACGGCACTCCATGATAATTGCAGAGCAGTGCTTGTAGGGGAGAAAACTTTTGGCAAGGTCATTATTAGAGTCATTTGTAATTCTGTTTTCTCAATATCATTATTTTATCAATTCTTGCTTTCTTTGTAATCTTTGATCATGGTTCCAGTTTGGATACTTGTGTACAGGGACTGATCCAATCGGTATTTGAACTCGATGATGGATCTGGTGTGGTTGTGACAATTGGGAAGTATGTCACACCAAGTCACATGGATATCAATGGGAATGGCATAGAGCCTGATTTCACACGTAGACCAGGTGACATTCTCATAATTATATGTATTAACTTGAGGAAAAAGTTTATATAAGGTTGATGCCTTAAATTGTAGAGTTAAGTTTCACCTCAAAAATCTATTGAGAAAGGCTCTTTTGATATTGGAAAACCATCTAATTGATCTTCTCAAAATAGAGATGCATGCATATGGAAAAAAAAGAAGATTTGAAGTCCCAAAAATAGTTCTTCTTGCAATACCTTATCCAGACTGTCTATATTTAAGATTTTTATTCGTTTATAGATCTGCTTGATTTGAACAATTTGTAGAATTTAAAGTTTTATATTTGGAGTGAAAATAGATTCTCGGGCCATCCTAAGAATTTTCGACACGAAAATTACACCTTATAGCAAAGTTTGGAGGTGCACCTTATTCTGATTGTTTAAGGTTAGAAACTTGTGGAAACCACACCCTTTACTTAATGCACTTCTCGAGTGTTAACCTTTAGTTTACATGGTGATTTCAGGTTGGAACGAAGCTCTAGAACGTCTGTCTTCTTGTAAAACACAGCATTAGTTACTAGTTACATCATCTTCCTTCTTCAATCTTTGTATATTAAACTGCATTCTACATCAGGGGTTTTACAAAAATCTTCTAGAGTTGATGATTAGCAGAAAACGCTTATCTATTGTAGCCCTAGTTGTCAACAGCTTGATTTGTGTTGCAAAAAACATGACAATACAGCTGGAACCTAGTGCCATTGAGTTATGTTCAGCTAGGCATTTCTTAATCTGTTTTTGGTGGCTGGGCATCTCTAATGTGGTTCTTTTTTGTGTTTGCCCTTGAATTATCTTCCCATCAGCGGTTGATGATTTTGGGCATGACATTAAAGTGTATCTTGCTGTTACTTATGTATGTAAATCGAGAGAACGTCACATCCCAAATATGTTTATTTAAAACTATTTTATGCACAATAGGAATTGATATACTGGCATGGAAATTTCATAGCCATGAATATGTTTCTATGTGCGTCTGTTTCTAATCCAAAAGAGGTAGCATGTACAGACAAGAAATAGATATTTGGAATAACGAGAAAACAAAAAAATAAATGAAGGAAACCTGATCTAAAACCCAAGCTTGTAAACATTTCCAGGCATACTAAAATTCTCAGAAACGCACGCGTGGTGCTGATCATCATATGATTGAGCTCGTGATTCCAACTTCCCATCATCAGTGCCCAATTCTATGATAAATCGATCTCTCCAGGATCACCTCGTTATACCTTATCTCTCTCTCTGCACGTGCGCGTGTGTGGATATTAAACTTCATTTGGCATCTTATATTTGTTATCTTCTTGGCAATGATGGTGGGAATGGGGTTGAGGTCGTGATGGTAGCCCCACTTGAGACTCCACTATCAGTCTAGGTTTTCAGTTCCAGTGATGCATTCGAAAACCACTAATTATTCCCCATTGATTTGCCAAAACAAATGGTTTTTTTTTTAAAATGAATACTTAGTGATGGATTAGAATAAGGTCTTGCAATATGCTCATATCCGGTTTTCTTTCCTTAGCTTATTAAAATTTACCCTAAGCCAAACCTTTTTTCAAAACTAAATCTGTCTAGGCAAATTTGAGACAATTATATCGCAATTTATTTTACTGCCTTGTTTGGGTATAATTTTTACCTATTACAACTTTTTCTTGATGCATCTTTGAGAAAATCTTACTATGCAAGTTTTTTTAATTTTTTTTATTTAGGTTACACATGACATATTACATTGGGACTAGAGTGTTGGACTCACATAAATTTGAGTTGATGCTTTGGTACATTCATAAAGTATCGAGAATAGCATCAAATATATGACCTATAGTCAGAGTATAATTCTAACTTTTGTATCAAACTTGATTTGCCTATTTGAATCTCTTCGTTGAATTTTCGGTGAATTTGAACCTATTATGTTACTTACACTAAACTTGTTGAAAGGATACAATGATATGCGTCATAAAGATGGTGCAAACATACATTCGAGATGAATACCCTAGGATCCACAAGCAATCATGCACGACCACATGTCATCATCAAAACAAGACACGGGACCACTATATGCACTCATTGTAACTACTGGATCCGATTGAGAGTCACTAATTGAAGTGTTTGCTGACTATGAATAGCTTTATCAAAAACATCAACTAAACTCGATTGAGAGTCACTAATTGAAGTGTTTGATGACTATAAATAGCTTTATCAAAGACATCAAGAGGAGAATGAAGGAGAAAGGAAGTGAGATAGATTGAGAAATACAGTTCCTGAGAGAGATCAGGTACACCAAGATATTTACGTGTGTTTGCCATTATATATGTTTGAACTAAATTCATACAAGTAGCCATGGCAGTAAGAGTTGCCAGTTTATCCTTATATATTTGTCTTTCTAACGAATTCATATGTGATTCATTGAAGTGTGGTGTTTTACATCTCTGTTGCATGAGACAATGAATGTAATCAACAAGGCGTTTACATATAACTTGAAATTGTTTGATTCCCAGAAATAGAATAAGGGAAAGCTTTCTGCTTCCCCTACAACATGAAACTTATATAATTTCCCTTATGCAACTGTCCATTTTGAATGGACGGTTGAGATGATGCCAATCACAATGTCGTGTATCTACACAAATTTATTTTTAATTCTTTTTTTTACAAAACATTTTTACACCAAATTTTGGCCATCCACTCTTCTATTAAACTCACACCTTTGAAAAATATTCTCAGTAAAATCAAATGACAAAATATCCCTAAAAGTTTTAAGAAGTAGTTTGGTCATTACATTTTATCAAAAATTATTTTTATTATCTGTTTTAGGTGTCCCATTGAGGTGATGGAATGTACCAATTTCATAGTCATATAATTTGTAAAATACTATGAGGTGTCGAATCTAGATCAAATGCTACAGTAGCTCATTTGATCTAAAACTGAAAAACTGGATGGGGGAAAGTACATATCTTCTATGCAGTAGGAGAGGTATAGAACCCTTTCAATTAAAATAAAGCTTTACTCATGGGTATATCTTAGTAGACTGATTGTTGAAGTTCTTTTAATTTTGTTATGTATTCTTCGCACACTTAAAATCACCCCAAAACTTTGGTGACTCCACTGGGGAGCAGTTCACATTTCTACTCTTCAATCACCTCTCGAAAGAGGTGGGGGTAAATTAATTTGTCCACTTCCTTTATGGTGGGAACAATTCGTGTTCCTATACCAATCAATATTGCATGTTCGACTAAGAGTTACATGGCCACTTGCCTGCAATCTACTGCTAGTCAACAACAGAATTCTCATCGAAGATCTATTCAGCAACGGAGGGATGCCTGTGAGGATTTTACTTGGAGTAAATAGGCATTATACTCCCAAAAAAGTAGGAAATCTTTTGCCAATTTAGAATATTATTTCTCTATCTCGTGGAGCGGGAGAATATGGGTGGCATCGGGTCAGGTCCGGTCTGGTCGGACCTGGACCTAGACTCGAACATGGAGATGCGACCCAAAAATT